TAACCGGGTTTACTAGAATCCCACCACTCCACCACAGAGTCACCGCAGTAGACGTTAGATGAGCGCTGTCGCTCCACGGCACTTGTATACCCTTCAGTATGGAATAAAAGAGGTCAAGATAAGACTATGTTATAATGTCCGTGTCTGATTTCATCGTAAGTGTTTGCACGTGAAAAAAAGGTTAAAGTTTGCCAAATTAGTGTGGCTTGGGTTTGACTATAGTCACTGTCAATAGCAGACACTTATTTTGGTGGCTAGTGTTGTTACCTCCGCCCAACGGAGTTGGAGGAGGTTATGTTTTCGCTCTCGTGTGTTAGTGTGTTCGTGTGTTCGCGCGATCGATATTAGCGTGTCGAGTCGTATAGCGTATGTTGTTGGCGGTCGATCGATATCACCCAGCGAGCCAGCAAGCCAGCGAGCCCAGCGAGCCAGCTCGTAACACATAGATGTTACATGGGAGCGTGTACATGTCAGTACGCTGGTGTATATCGTGGCTTATTCGTATGTTCGTGAGTTGTATGGCGTATTGCGTATGTCGTCGGCAGAGGTATGCACTCCCTGAGTGCACTCTGTCTAGTTTTTATTGTATCATGGCCTGCAGTGTTGCATGCCAGCCCTTCTAGATTCGTTCCTCATTCAAAGCATACTCTGATTCATGTATTGTGCTGATGTAGAGCGAGGAGTTATATTGGTAGTTAAGGTAGTCTGTCCCTATCTATACTACATACATGGTACAAGACCAGGAATGTCCCACATGCTCTACCCTTCTATGCCCAGCCTATGGCTATACAGTAGAGCCAGTTTGACTCACATTCGCAATTTCGAATCTTTCCACCCATCGGCATCTCACCCAGCAATTCAGAGTGATTTCTTGGACAGGTTGAAGGCGTCGGGCGTTCCTGTACGCTTCTGCACTAACGCCACCGAGACGACGAGAGTGAATCTTGTAGCGAAACTGAACAGAATCGGATTCAGTCTAGAACCCAACGAAGTGTTCCCTCCTGCGCCAGCCGTCTGCCAGATACTGAAGGAGCGTGGACTCAGACCTCACCTCCTTGTCGCAGATGGTAGGCCCCATCTCCAAACTTGCCATGTATTGAGTAGTATTAGCTAGTCGTAATGCTAACGTATATATAGCATTCATGAGGAAGGCAAAATGCCAATAGGAAGATATTGCATTCTGTTTTTCTATAAGAAGTCGAGTTCATGAGCCACTGCTAACGTAACCATGTTAATCAAGCATTTCTGTGGCTTTAAAGCGTGCTGTGTTTTATGCTCGATGCTTGCTTTTGCTTAAACTTTTTTCACATTGCAGTGTGCGGTGATCATATGTGTGCTGGTTTTATACAATACTAAACTGTTCGAATTATTCTCCTGTACTCATATTTTCTATGTAAAACAATATTTGAAGTGTGATGCATCACATCTTCTGTAATAATGATAATCTGTATTCACGTGGATCAATCAATGTCTTATATTCCAGACTGCAAGCCAGACTTAGCTGGTGTTGAACAGCATGATCCGACGTGTGTTGTGATTGGGGATGCAGCCCACGGCTTCACTTATGACAGCATGAATAAAGCATTCCAAGCCTTAATGCAGATGGAAAAGCCATTGCTCATATCTATGGGACAAGGGTAAGAAATTTTAAATACTGTATACGCTGTATATTTCGCGGTGGTTTAATTTTCGCGACTTTCGCGAACGCGTCCCCGGCCGCGAAAATAATAACATGCGAATAATTCATACCAAATAATACCGAATAATTCATAATTCACTGACCGCGAAATTAACCACTCGCAAAATTGTCCGTCAAGTCTGGATTCGCGAAAATATATGTACGCGAAAAATATGGCGTATACAGTATATGACTACAGGGTTCTCCAAGCTTTTTCATTATAGCATGGCGGGTGCTGCTTTTACGGTTCTAGTTGCAAATCGTCGAAGGCGGTTTGCATGCTAGGGGGGTCCGGGGGCTATTATACTTAGCATGGCGGCTATGATATTTAGAGTGCCGGGTGCATTTTAGGATGGCGGGGCTCGACGATAGCCTGGCGGGCTGCCAGGCTACAAGTGTTCTTGGAGAACCCTGGACTAACCACGTGGTTGCATTGTACAGTGCTTATAATATCACTTGTTACGAGTTATGTAACAAGCGTATTAGTTGTTGCTTTTTTTGTAAATAAATACATGACAATGTTTATGTATGTCTGTGGCTGTGTCATATCTTTTGATTAGTACTTAAATTCAATTTTTTTTTGTTATCAAACATTTTATTAATAAAATGGTGTTCAATGTTTGCTTCATCATCTCAACATAGTGAACCATGCTAATATAAGTGAGAAGAAAGATATCTGTAATTAAAGAAGATCAAAAATACCACAAATAATGATCAAATTATTACTATATAATTAATTATTATTAATATTAATGTGTAATTACTATTATTATTGATTATAATTATTAATAAAATTGGTGGTCTGTGCATCGTAATCTGTAGAGATTGTGTCAGAACTGAACTAACAATGTTGTTTACAGGAAATACTACCTTGAAACTGATGGTTTAAAACTAGACTGTGGTCCATTCATGAAAGCCTTGGAAGTGAGTTAAATTATTTGTGCAATTTATTGACACAAGAATGTGTATAATTTCAAATTACATGTAAAGCATCTGGGAGTTGTTGTATTGATATGTTGGATTATTGAATTATTGTAGGAGAAATTTTATGATTGATGTTATTAATTCAATTCTGCCTAAAATGAATGGGTACAGCACTTAGCTACTAGTTAGAATAGATTAATAACTATGTTTAGAATAGATCAGATTGGGTAAAATAAAACAATGTTGGTATATTATCATCGATTGTTTCATAACATTTAAGGTTTTATTTTCAGTATGCCTGTAGTCTGGAGGCAGAGATAGTTGGTAAACCATCAAAAACATTTTTTGATGCTGTACTCAAGGACATTGGCATTTCTAGTGACAAGGTAAGCAGCATACAAATGTCATGATAGCCATAACCACTCTATGGAAACGTTTTGCTTTATGTTATCTGCCACATTTGTCGACAAAAGTAGCAAGTCGGGTAGGGTTGTAAAATAAAGATGTCATAAGTCTATAACATTGTTGTGTGTCCATTTTCCTTTTCTGGTGTTTCATTTCAATTTGATGCTGCCTACAGTACATGTAGGCTGCCTGCCTACATGTTAGTAGTGATGTCAAGATCATCGATTATACTCGATCATCGGTTGAACAGTGGCACGAACCAAGCGCTTGGTTATCAAAATCCATAATCGATTTCATCAGAAAAAAAGAAGAAAAAAATGAAATAAATGTAAAACTTGAACAAGAAAACTTGGAAAAGTGATGAGAATCAGAGATATCATTGCTACCATACAAGTTATCCTTGCACATGTGTGTGTATGTGTGGCGTTGCAGGCACTGATGATAGGTGACGATGTAGTCAGTGATGTGGGTGGCGCCCAGGCATGTGGAATGAGAGCATTGCTGGTCCGCACTGGAAAGTACAGGTATGCCAGTAATACATGGCTAGGTTTGGGGTTAGCATGGGATTCATTAGTAATAGTATGGACTATGGGTATAACAGTGAGATATAGGTACAGTTAGTAGTGATGTCAAGATAATCGATTATACTCGATCAGCGCTTGGTTATCAAAATCGATAATCGATGTCATCGGAAAAAAAAGAAGAAATAATTGTAAAACTTGAACAAGAAAACTTGGAAAAGTGATGAGAATCAGAGATATCATCGCTACAATACAAGTTATCCTTTATTAACATACATGTATTATACACACAGTAGTAAACAGTGCAAAACAAACAGTAAACAGGGCTGAACAAGCACATACATGCACACACGTACATGCACACGACGTTACGCACACGCAGGCATTCAACACCCCGAGTAACCGATTGTAACCGATCATCGGTTACTTGGGTCCAACCGATGATCGATTACAAAATTACAACCGATTGACAACACTAACAGTTAGTGTTAGAGGTCAGATTTTTTTCACTTGTGTCAGGCTGCATGTTCCTTACTAATGCGTTATCATGGACACAAAACATAAAAAATGACCTGTCAGATATTATGTATACATGGAGTAATTGTTGTTGGGTTAATGTTAAACAGGCCAGGACCAATGACACGTATAAAAAAATCCTTTTCTCTTGTTTATTGTATATTTTTTTAACTACTTAATGTTAATAAAACCCTAAATTAATTAGTTTCTAAACCGAATCTATTCTACTGTGAAAGTAAATTCAATGATATCGATTCAAATTGGTAGAAATCACATGCTGCTTCACTGTGGCATCTTTTAACATGTGCTGCAACCTAGTCCGTAAAATGAACACAAACGTTACAACGTTACTTGAATGCATTTTGTTTGCAGGCCGACAGATGAGAAGCACCCAACTGTGACACCAGATGGCGTTGTAGACAACTTGCAACAGGCAGTTGAGTTGTTTCTCTCATGTAGAGACAAGTAAGCCAGCCGTAATGTGTTCGTGGAGCAATAACCTGAAACACGAAGAAGAAATCTATCTAAGACGATATCTCGAAGAAGACATCTAATTCAGCAGGAGACAAGTTTTTCGATCTTTTAATATAGTGCACACTAAGCTTCTACATGGTGAAAATTCTTGTGATAACATAGCGCTTTTGCTGGATATATCTAGTTTCATAAAAATACAATGAAGTATGACTATTGCTCATGTGAGGATCATGTCACCTAGCAATATCAAAATAACTTGAAGCTTTTTCGGAAAGTGCAGATTATGAAAGGAGGTGGTATATATTTTCTGAGTTAGACAAACATCATTCTGCCATGTTGGCTCAGTTATGTATTTTAGTAACTGCGTGCGTGTGTTGTGTGTGTAAAAAGATTACAGTGAAGTAGGATATGTATCAGGAGTAGATAATAGGGAATTCCCTATTATCTACTTCTGATATGTATCTTGTTGGCTTACCCTTACTAATGGGAGGTGTTATTATTGAAAGCTGTGTGAATAGTGTTGCTGCCATTACATAATAAAGTTTATTGCATCAATCACATATATGAACGTAAGGTTAGAAGTTCAGGCATTTCTTTAAGTTCAGAGGCTCATCGGGATATTTAAATCACGTATCTCCTCATGGGGTATCCCCTTGTACAGAATCCCCACCGTAACTTGTGAACTTGCTTGGCATCAGAGGTAAGACAGTTATATCTAACCTTCCGTTCCATCGTGTAATGACACGATGTCGTTTCCTAGTCATATAGAGAGCTGGGGTTAATCTCATAGTCTTATGTCATGCCAATATCAGGTAATGCACCCCGTCCCAAACTGATCACATGCACTACAATATGTATATTCACGTCTTGACCATGGAACTTCCTTTCGGCTTTGATCCAAGGGTGTCATGTTCTATATATAGGGGACTTAATTCTCCAGGTATCCAGATCTTTGCAATTCAACAGCCACTTTCAATTTGTGTTGACATGTTAAGACCATTTGCAGTTTCTGTAACTGGTTATTTTTTACTGGATGCGTAGTTGGCTCATCACAAACCTCCGTTGACGGTACAGGATAACGTGGATGACTTAGTTGGCTGGCACCTTAATGGAAGCCTGCTCACTACAGCTGTGTTTATGCAGTATAGCCTCAGGTCATTGATGCACGCAACCCTGCCAACCGCGTCAAGGCGTCACCCAGATCTTATTAGGCTGGCAAATTTGCACCATTCTTATTGTAATCAATAACTCAAAATGAGAAATTCATCTGAGAAAATATGTAACTATTCAAAGTCGTAAATGGGCTGAATCAACGGCAGTGGAGCTTACGCATGTGATCTCCCACCACAGACCGTACATAATAAATTATTCTACATCGCCCGTACCTGGTGCGATGCTAAGCTGTCTCCCAGGGCTACAATCGCGTTGCTTGGTGAAGATATTGATGCGCCAAATTCATTGATCCTCGGCTGTCGATTGCAACCTGCGTTAGTGAAAGTGAAGGAGTAAACACAGTCTACTTCTTGCGCGGACGTCTGCGTGTTTGCGCAGTAATAGTAGCAGCAGCTATCACAAGTTTCATCGATGTTGATCATCAATGAGAGACGATGTTGGGGTAGCGTTGCACGGTAGGCAGCAGAAGCACTCATGGATAGACAGCGAATCATGTACGAAGAGGAGGAGACGAGGAGTGAAGAGGACTTTGATGGCAGTCAAGAGGAAATGGACGACTGGCAGGCAGTTGCCAGACTGCAGGCAACTGACAGGCAGCTAGCAACCGATAGAAATCAGGCAATGGAAGAACAGGCAACTGACAAAGGGCAGGCAAGTGTTATGCACCAGGCAAGCGACATGCAGCAGGAAAGTGACATGCAGCAGGCAAGTGGGATGCAGCAGGCAAGTGACATGCAGCAGGCAAGTGGGATGCAGCAGGCAAGTGACATGCACCAGGCAAGTGGGATGCATCAGGCTAGTGGGATGCACCAGGCAAGTGGGATGCATCAGGATAGTGGGATGCACCAGGCAAGTGACATGCAGCAGGCAAGTGGGACTGCAGCAGACAAGCTGGAATGCAGCAGACAAGTGACATGCAGCAGCAAGTGACTGCGAGCAGGCAATGGGATGCATCAGGGCTGAGTGCGGAAGCAGCAGACAAGTGACATGCATCAGGCAAGTGGGATGCATCAGGCTAGTGGGATGCACCAGGCAAGTGAGATGCACCAGGCAAGTGGGATGCAGCAGGAAAGTGAGATGCAGCAGACCTCTGCTAGGAAGCAGGGATCTCGTCTATTGAATGGTCTCCGTGTGAACAGAGTGACACCAGCCCGTTCGTCGTCCGATTTTCAGGTGAAAGGCAGACAGACCCATGTATTTCCTGACCCAGCTGTGTATGTAGTGCTTGTAGATGGTCTGTGGTGGTTGCCACGGCTGTGTTGTAGTGCTGTGTGTCCATGTTGGTTGCACGTCTTGCTGATCTGTAGTGCTTGAGTCTGTAGGGTGGTGAGTCGGATGTCTGTAGTACTGGTAGTCTGGTGGTGGTTCCACGGTCTGTTGTCTGTATGTATTGTAGGGTGTTCGGTGGTTGCACGTCTGGTCTGTAGTCTTGTAAGGGCTGTGGTGGTTGCCGTCTCTGTGTCTGTACTGTTGTGTCTGCTAGTGGTTTCCACGTCTGTGTCTGTAGTGCTTGTTAGGCTGTGGTGGTTGCAAGTCGTGTGGTCTGTAGTGCTGTGTAGTCTGTAGTTGGTGTCCACGTCTGGTCTGTGACTTGTAGTCTGCTGTGGTTTCCACGTCTGTGTCTGTAGTGGCTTGTAGTCCATGGTGGTACACGCCGTGTGTAGCTGCCTTGTAGGCGTGTGGGCGTTTCCACGTCTGTGTGCTGTAGTGCTTGTAGGCACGTGCGTGGTTGCACGCTGTGTCTGTGAGTACTTGTAGGCTGTGTCGGTTTGAACGTCTGTGTCGTGTAGTACTGTAGGCTGTGGTTGGTTGCACGTGCTGTGTCTGGATCTGTGTAGTCTTAGTGGTTCCACGTCTGTGCTCTGTAGAGCTTGTGGCTGTGGTGGTTGCACGTCTGGGTCTGTAGTACTTGTAGGCCGTGGTGGTTCCACGTCTGTGTCTGTAGTGCTTGTAGGCCGTGGTGGTTCCACGTCTGTGTCTGTAGTGCTTGTAGGCCGTGGTGGTTCCACGCCTGTGTGTAGTGCTTGTAGGCCGTGGTGGTTCCACGTCTGTGTCTGTAGTGCTTGTAGTCTGTAGTGGTTACACGCCTGTGTGTAGTGCTTGTAGGCCGTGGTGGTTCCACGTCTGTGTCTGTAGTGCTTGTAGGCCGTGGTGGTTGTACTGCCGTAGTAAGTGTAAACCAGAGATTTAACATGTCTGTGTCTCTGCTAGCATACACCACGGTGTCAGTAGTCTGCCTACCATAGAAATATGGCCGGTGTGTGTTTGTAGTGGGTGTACAACCAGACTATAGCATATCTGTGGCTGTAGCTCGTGAATGTTTTTAGGATGGTAGGATTTGTGTCCGTCGGTCTGTGTGTGTATCCTGTTTCGTTAGCCCTAGCATAATCTCATGTCACTTACAGGGCTGCGCTTCTATCCTCTATAAATAACCTGTATAAATAACGTCATCTCAGAAGTAGCTGAGTTCCTGTTCACTGTGCCCTGTGAAAGGAAGTTCTACCTTCATATCTCTCTACGTTTTTCCGGGAAACTGGGATGTAGTGTTTCAGTATGAAGTATGTAGTATGCAGTATGTAGTGTTGCATGTCATTGTGAGTGAAAGCAGTAGAGTCACATTACAATAGTACAAGGCTGCGGGTTATAGCCATTAAACCATACAGGCACGTCTATATTGATCTATGTTTTCACGTCGTGAGCCGATATGCATGTGACAACAACGTTGCTAGCAAACAGCGTTTCATTTCACGCGTGTTTGCATGCCATGGTGCAGCCCAATTTTATTGTCATAGCTTTCCCGCTATGTTTATAATCAGAACACGCATAGAGTAATGGAAGTTGTAGGTACGTGTATATATGAATTGTATTGAAGGGTTATTCTAATTGATTATATGACTTGTACACATTAACAATTGCTTTTGAAATAACCAATGCTAAACGATAGGGTTTTCATTTTGTTACAGAAAGGAGAAATGTTCTGGGTACGCCATAATATAAACAAAAGGATATGCACCAATTTTCTGCCAGAAGCCAGGTAAATGTAGCCACACAAACGCATTTGGTTCTGTATTCTCTTGTTTTTGATCAAATATTGCTTTTTTAATTTATTGTAATGCATATCGAGACAATTTAGATAGATCATTGCATGTATTCCGTTTTACAAATACGTACGTGGACAGTACTGAAAGTCTAGGTGAAAAACTGAGCACACTAGAAGCTGCGCACAGGATTTTCATCGATGGTGCGCTCAATGCGAATAAACCACGTAAACAATGGTGTGATCTCTAACCGTTTACATCTGCGTTGTCGTTGACGGCAGGCACGAGGACATATGCAAGTGCGGCTATGATAAAGAGGATCATCATCACCTGAACTGCAGCCCTTCCTTAGGCGTGGCCGAGAGATGGGACTCAACCTGGCACACTGACGCTGAGCCGACCGATGCCTTTGGCGAAATTGAATTTGTTGGATATGGGCAGAGAATCGGAAAGGTGAGTTTCCACACAGCCACCCCTGCATGCAGTGTGGTGTTAGTAAGGCTCATAGGGTCTATGTCCCCCAGGGTACTGCCGGAACGTACCCTGGTCACTATTTAATATGGTTAGGGTTAGGATTAGGGTTAGGGTTAGGGAGTAGGCGTAGGCGACTCCCTAGACTCGTTAGTGGAGTAGGCGAGGTACGGTCCGGCATATTAGATAGTATCAGGGTACGTTCCGGCAGTACCCCGGGGGACATAGACCCTCTCAGCGTTAGTAAGGTACAGCCACGTTATTTATTGCTTTTCTGAAAGCAGGCATTCATATCATATGCATGCAAAGGTAGAGGTAACTAATCGGGGTTTCTACGCAGCACAGCATGATGGACAAAATATAAGGTACGTGCTCACTGGTATTATCAATGGGCCCCTGTTTTGCATGCACCAAGTATGTATCATTCACTCACACCCTTGTTACAGTTGTGGTTCAATAGTCATACATATATAATGATCGATAAGGAATAGTTTGTTTCCGATATTTTTAGTACGTGAGAGTTGACCATGCGACCAAAATGGATACAATGATAGACTTACTAAAGGACGTGTGGAAACTCAGCACACCAAACTTGCTCATCTCTGTCACCGGGGGTGCCAAGAACTTTTCCATGAGCCCTCGTCTGAAGGAGGTGTTTCACAGGAGTCTCATTAAGGCAGCACAGAGCAACGGTGAGTGTGGGGCAGCCTAATTATATACGTTCGATCCCATCATGTAAATTATTCATATAGCAGGAGGTTTTATCTATCTGTCGTACACACAAACACACCCACACAGGCACACACATGCACACACACCCTCCCAGGCACACGCACGCATACACATACCGTATACGCATACGCACATGCACGCAAGCGCACACATGCACTCGGACGCGCACGCATGCGCACACCCACGCACGCACGCACGCACGCACGCACACTCACTCGCACGCACACTCACTCACTCACACACAGACACACGCACACACGCACACACACACACATACCAAGTGTAGTGTCCGTATTCATTTAGGACACAGTATCACCGCAGAACATGCAATTTAAACTGGCAGCATCCCCATAACAGTGCTGCCAATTAATACACGCATTTGGTTGCACATTTTATCCACGGTTTAACCCAGCTCGCCTGTTTCCATCGCTTAGATAAAAAAACAGAATATGATCGTAATTTCCTCGATAGATCTATTGTCTGTTGCAGAAATGTGGCCACGCATCATGATCGACATCGCGAATAAATGCTAGCATTGATCTCAGCGTACTTTTGGTGCATGCAGGTGCTTGGATAATCACGGCGGGAACGCACGCGGGAGTCATGAAGCACGTCGGCGAGGCGGTGCAGGACTATGTGCTTGCGCACGGCATGCACGCCCAGGAGAATGTCATAGCCATCGGCATCGCTCCATGGGGCGTCATTAGCAGTCGAAACGACCTCGTCGATCCAAAGGTACGGGGGATGCGTTCGCGCGCATTTTTTCTGCTTTTATTCAGTACTGTGATTTAAACGTACATAAAATACGTGTAAGCGTACGCTTAACAAGATTCAATCCGAATTTATTTTACGATACCGTACGTTATTTTGAACAATTTGCCTCGGGTGCGTGCATATCGGAAATGTAAATTGGTCAGATATACTTGATTTGCGTCCGTTTTATGCAGAAATAGATATCTCTACTATTGGCCTTAGCTGCAAGTCGTGACTCGTCAAGACAAGTTAAAATTCACGTTTAAACTGTGTCTTCTGATATATGTTGACCTCATGGTTTATCACCCACATAATGGTTCTTTATGAAATGCGTGGAGAGCACTTGCATGCTGTTATCCTTGTGTGTAGGGCAAGTGGCCAGCGCGCTATAGAGTTGACATTGAACCATCGAGCCAGGAGGTGCAACTCGATCCAAACCATTCACATTTCATACTGGTGGACGATGGAACACAGCACACGTAAGCATCTGCTGCCATGCTTTGTGCATAGCTATTTCCCTACCATTTAGATGTATATATTAACGACCAGCATGTAATAGTGGAGTCCATTTGCAATTCACAGTGCATTGCAGCCATTCTGAAATATACTTTGTAGTTCAAATGCATTCGTGTCAGAAATACCCAGTTATTGGTATTAATGGATAAAATTTACCTGTATTCATACCACTAATTATTCTGTAATTGTATGCAAATAACTGTTATATATTTGTGCACATAACTGTTGTGTAATCATATAGGTATCATGTTTTATCCATAGAGATAAGAATTCTTGCATAAAATTGATCTGTGTTCATGCTGATATCTGATCTGTATGGATGTAGACAATATATCTGGGTTTATACAGGTTTGGAGTAGAGATTGGCTTCAGAGAAAGGCTTGTTCAGGAGATTGCCAAGCAGGGCGTAGACACAAGTTCCTCAGGTGAGCCTGCTTAAAATGTCATAATAGCTACCTCTTTATGTAAGCTCTTCAATCAAGTTGTGATTAAGACATTGAGTTGATTGCATTTAATTTTAAAACCAATTAAATATTCCAGTTTTCATTAGTGAGTTATAATAAAAACTTAGCGAGATTATTTGAACTAACTATCATTCTCAACTTCATAACCCAATTCGTATATTCATTAATTGACACTTAGCTGAGTAAAATGGTCTGATTATAATGTTCATATCCATGAACATTTATATTATATATATTATTCATAATTAATACTCATTAAACTACATGTTAATATAAGGTCTCACTTGAGCTGTAAAAGCTAGCTCAGTTCATTCGGCTAACTGACAATTTTCTTTCATTGAGGTTACATGAGAGATAATTTGGCTTAGTTACGTTCCGTACTGGTTATTCCTGTATGGTTTACGCGCAGGATCTCTGAGCGTGCCGGTCGTGTGTATCGTCGTTGAAGGAGGGCCAGGAACACTAGAGAACGTATACACAGCCGTGCTCAACGACACACCCATCGTGATTGTAGAGGTAATTGCTAGCGATCACATCGAGCTGACTTGTGTATGATTTATGGCCTTACTGACTGCCCTGCCTTTATGTACAACTGCGATTGTACATAAAATACCTTTTGCCTGGTGTTCCAAGCTTGGGTGCATATAGTTGTAAACATGGTATGTGTACTGTAGCATATATACTTTGTAAAAGCACGTCATCATGTGTAAAGTTTGTAAATGGCATCATGCAACTCGCATTTTCTGCAATTGTAGCTTCATTCATGTGTCAGACAAGCAACCGTGTAGTCGTGTACACGTCTGTCGAGATTACAATAGCCGCAAAAATAAATTCAAAAGTTTCTAGTGTGACTAGTTTCTCGTCTGAATGTAACATATTTCGGATATACTGCAGAACTCTGTTATCTGAATACTGCTAAAGCTGAAGTGGAAGAGTATATATATTGCATGGTCGGTATGTGTGTTTGTAGGGATCAGGCCGTGCAGCAGACTTGCTGGTGTATGCATACAAGGCATGTAAGACTGTGACAAGAGATGAAATAGATGAATTCGGTGCAAGAAAAACAGAGTAAGTGTTCAGTACTGTAACACATATATGCATTCTGTGTTTACCATCGTTATTTCAGAAGTAGAACTTTGATGTCATCTTCTGAGTAATTCTCAGTACGTGGTTCGTTCACAAACCAATTGCCAATAGTAACTGGAGTGGAACGTCAAAATTTCCTGTTGCTAATTAAGGCAATTCCCAGCTGTGTTTCGTAGCATTTGCAAATGATTTCACACTGTTAGGTCGGGGGGTTTGTGTGATGGGGTTAGCATTTAGCTATGAGATAGGTGCTATGTTATATATTTTAATGTAGTTGTAATAGTATGTCAACTATCCATTGCAGAATTGAGCCTGTGATAGATGACAACCTGCGATACGAGCTTTTGGATAAACTGTCTCATGAGTTTGGAACCACACACCTCCAGAAACGTTGGAACTGGCTTCGTCAAATACTCAAAAAGCGCCACCTGCTGTCCGTTTTCAAACTCGACAGTAGTGAATCGGCTCAGGATATTGACATTGCAGTGTTGAATGCTCTGCTGAGAAGTGAGTTAGTGTTGAAAATAGCATTACAGAGTGAGCGCTTCTTAGAAGTTCAGTGGGAAGTGTCAAGTCCAGAGAAGTGAGTTAAAAACGTTTATTGACCCAGCAAATAGTGCCCATCTTTGATACCTTTGGTTTAAGGTTATAAAGAAACTGCCAAGGTAAATGGTGATATTAGGAGCTTTTCCATTGAGAGAATTTGTGTTGTCATATTTTGTTATTTATGTGTCTATGTGTCTATGTGTTTAGTTATCTATTTGCTATTGTGTAATTTTCAGCCAATGAGAGTAAAGTGACACAGCTTAGATTGGCCATCGCATGGAACAGGATAGATATGGCCAGGAATTATATATTCACTGAGAATACAAAGTGGAAGGTAGGCCAGCATTTATAGTAGAGCTTAGTGAGCGAGATGGCATTAAATGGTTAATGTTGCAGTCAAAAAGAATGCTTTCAGTGTAGCAAGATGTCAGCCATATATGTAGCATATGGATAACACTCAATGACACTATTATAAGTACATACGGTAGCAGAGGAGCTACATATGGGAACATGAGGTGGGGGAGGTTGTTAATGTGAGGATTTCTCATGTTTCTTACGAACTGTATTCATATTTTCTAAACCGTTCTGATACTTACCAGTACTCCCTGCATAACACCAAATGTATACAGTAAGGCAAACATGTCAGAGAACACTCCCACAACATTCTTCCACCAATATGTGCACCAATCTGCATTTCAAATTGGATTGTTTACATATGTCAACAACCCTAATGCAGGATTTTTGCTCTCGCGAGACCGAAACGCTGTCTCTACACTAGGTTTCTATGCTGAAGTAATCACTGATATGTACGCTGGCAAGTGAGTCTGAATTTCTCTGTTTACTTGTGAGATGATTTCTTTAAACAATGATCAGTTAACCACTACAACTGCTGTCAGGGCGTATACTCATAACCAGTTGACCACGATAACTGCCATTCCAGGATGACCACAGTCAGTGGAGCACCGTGCACCGCCCTTGTGATTGCTAGACCACTGAATTACAGTGTTTTACCACTGTTTACAGAGTACCTGTTTTACAGGGTGACCACTGTATGGCATTTCAGGTTGGTGAGCTAGCAGAGATCATGGTGAATGCCATCCTCGACGATCGCGTCGAGTTTGTCCAGGTCATGCTGGAGCAGGGCATTAGTCTGACGGACGTGATCACTCGAAAACGGCTCAAAGAAATGTACAACGTGGTAGGGAAGGAAGACATTATGTAACAATCGCCGACATCTATTACCCGTGATGCTTTGTGCTGTGGGGGCAAGGGTGGGGGAATGTTTTGCTGTGCATGTTCGTAAGCATCAGCGTGTCCGTCGATTACTGCAAACGCTGTGAATCCACACTCCGGCTAGGAACGTTAATTTTCTCGGCATGTTAAAACCTGGTTCTCACCTTCAGGGGAGGCCTGGTATGTACTGGGGATGTACGAACACAGGTTTTCGACTCTGTACAAAGAAATCTGGTACGACTTGGCATTTTATGATTATAAAAGGGAATGGCGGGTATGCGTTCTCTAAATTAAAATGATGATTTCAAGAAAATATGATTTTATTCATTTGATAGAGGTTGGGCATATTCCTGCATGACACATATCGCCATCTATTGGCTGATTTAATCTTTATTATTGTTACGTTAGCCAGGGCACCTGATGCATCACTATGTATTTTCTGTGTCGAGCTACTGGAAGGAGTATAACCTGTCATTTTTCTCTTTTTGACATCTGTCAATATTACTTTTGCCAATACCGACTTAGCCAGTGTGCAATTTCAAATTCCCGTAAAATATTTAATAAAATACAGATATACAAAACAGACAAATAACTCTCATCTAGCTATTTGTCTATCTGTTTGTCTGTCTATCTGTATCAGGAGTAGATAATAGGGAATCCTGATCTGTATCCATCTATCTAGCCATCTCAGCAAGCCATCTTGTGAGGCAGAAATGCCATCTGACGACGCGGCGTGATTCTAGTCCATGTTCTCATTATAGGTGAAGCAGCACAGCAGTCTTCTGGAGCTGCTATTGGAGGTTATGCTGGGTTACCATGGCGATGAAGACGTGGGGCTGCAGCACATTGGGGAGCTGATCGGCACGTTGATGGGAGATTTCTTCACACCTCCTTACATCGGTGAGAGAGGCAGTTAACGCGTGTGACACAGTCTCTCTGCATGTTGCTAAGGGTATAGGCTTATGGGTCGGTGCAAGGGTATATATATATACGTTCTGTATATGTAGGGTAGAAATGAGGACGTGTATGATTTCTTTGATGATTCTAGTTCTATTGTGGTCAGATAATTGTTTTCACCATGTAGTTTTACGTTTAGGAAGCATGTAATTAACTGAAGCATGCTATTTTTAAAGTCACTGCTGTCTGACCACATGCATATATACTGTAGCATAATGAAGCTATTTGCTATTGCATTGTCAAAAGTTTTTCGGCAATGCAGTGTGTATATTACATGATATCAAGAGCTAATAAATACCTAGAGTGTACAATGGAAAAACGGGAAAATATTGCTATTTCACAGCAATATTATTCTACTTTGCCTGCGAGTCTAGAATAATTTTATGGTATTGCATTAAGCAGAATTCTTTGCTCTCTAAAACAAGAACAACCGCTTGTCAATACGATACTCTTAGGCTGAGATATTGGCTCGTAAACGTCCCCTCCCACAGGCCTCACGGCGCCTCGCCTCCACACAAAATTCACTATCCTTTTCGCCTTTTGTGGGTTAGGAAAGTCGCTTCGTGAGAGTTCGGTTTTTTCCGCGATAGCTTTATGAATGAACGGCGTTTTGGTTATCATCGGTGACTTTCGGGTGCATCGCCTATGCCCTTATCTCCCATTATCTTTCCTAGCACGGCTAATGCCCGTCATGATGAAGCCTGCAATGTTTTCTAAATTAAGTCTCTACAACGCAGCTCAGTTACTATATGGTGTAGCAAGAGTACCAAATTTGGGCATGTGACATCAATTATCAGCGCTCCAAGCGGCGACGGAAAACGATAGCCAGACCCGCAAAAGGCGAAAAGGATAGTGAATATTGTGGATGCGTGGCGGCGTGAAGCCTGTGGGAGGCATGATTACGCTCCAATATCTCGGCCTAGGAGTATCGTAGAGACAAGCGGTTGGTCTTATTTTAGAGAGCAAAGAATGCTGTTTAACGCAATACCATGAACTTAGTCTACTAGAACCGCATACAAAGTAGAATAATGTTACCGTGAAATAGCACTATTTTTCCGTTTTCCCATTGTACACTCTAGGTATTTATTAGCTCTTGATGATATATATGTTTGACACGATTGACTCGGATAGGCAACATGTATTTTTAGTAAATTATCTCTTTAGTAAAGTAATTTCTCCTGCTGTGTAGTTTATTCACTTGTCTGATGTATATCACTGCTAGATTTTAAATATTAACATGTGATTCCTGTGTAGCTATCAATTGCAATGATATGTAGGCAATTAAAGGTGCATTGCTAACATTATTTTCTCTATCAACTATTAGCTGACAATGCTTCTGATGCCCTACTGAAGAATCCAGCACGTGAGCTGTTCTATTGGTCTGTGTTCAACAACCGCTACCAGATGGCATTGCTGTTCTGGCAGAATGGCAAGAATCAGATCGCTGCGGCGCTAACTGCCTTCAAGCTGCTGACTACAGCTGTGGAGAGAATACCGGATATTGCTGACGCATATTCCTCCGTGGCGGATAGCATCACGTGGGTTCCTCCCTTGTACAAAAACACTCCCTTAACCCATTTATCAATATCTTGGGGTACTTCTGCTGTAACCCTGAGACTCGTTACTAGTTAGTAGTTGCCAGTAGGTGCTTATATCTCTGCAGTAACTTTGAGACTCGTTGCTAGTTAGTAGTTGCTAGTTAGTAGTTGCTAGTAGGCGCTTATCTCTGCAGTAACTTTGAGGAGCTGGCCGTCGGCACGCTAACGCAGTGCTACAAGACGAATGAGAGGAAGACGCTGGAGCTGCTCGTCAGCGAGACGCCGCAGTTTGGCGGCGCCACATGCCTCGCTCTCGCTGCCAGCTCTCACAGCTTCAGCTTCATGTCGACCGTCGCCTGCCAGGACGTGCTCAACAACCTGTGGCGTGGCGGCCTGTCCGGCGGCACCAGCATCAGCAAGGTGCGGGGGCGAGGGCGGCGACTGACGGCCGTGCGTTTTTTTGTTTTGTTTTGTTGTTTTGTTGTATAGTGTTTTGTCTTCAGTAGGGCGCGCATATTTGTTGTAGTGGTTTCGTTTTTCAGCTAGGGCTGCCATGTTTGTTGTAGTGGTTTCGTCTCAGTAGGGCGGCATGTTTTGTAGTGGTTTTCGTCTTCAGTACACGGGGCATGTGTTGTTGTCAAAGTGTTTTGTCTTTCAGTACCGGTGCCATGTTGGTTGCCTAGTGGTTTGTCTTTAGCAGGTGGGCCGCGGGGGCATTGTTTGTAGTTGGTTTCGTCTTCAGTGCACGGGCATGTTTGTTGGTATGTTTCGTCTTCATTAGCATGGCCATTGTATGATATAATGTGTTAAAAATATACAGTATTAATTACGTATTTGTTATTATATATAGTAGCTACAGGCGAGAGAGAAGCAGAAGAACAGAGAGTGAAGTTAAAGGGATTAATAACTATATAAAAATGTAGCAAATAATCTGTCAAAAGCGTCACTTCAAAACAACTTGCGACGTAGATGGCGGAGAAAATAAGAAAGTGTTGTAATGTTTGTATATGTTTTTTGCTTCTAGACTTCTTGATCGCAGCATCTGTCCACTGCTGATATTTTTCTGGATAGCGTTTGATAAGCAGCGCGATAGGAACGGTGGAATGAGGAACACTGCCATTTCAACGTCGTCGTCACAGACAACGCAGTAATGTTGAAGTTGAGGTAAAGTCCATCGTTGTCTTTAAAAGGAACACTGCTGTAGCCGTCAGAATTACAGGCAAACAACCAGGGCAAGACTTTGAGAAATACAAGTCTCTGAAAGAGGTCGAGAAAGAATCTATAGGCCTAAACATTATTGAAGTCAGATCTTTTTCTCTAAATCAGGCGCACCCCCCCCCCCCCCCCCACCCCTGTGCGCATTTTATAATCGTCATGTGTGCGGTGACCCGGCCACTGTAAATGTCAAAAAGCACACAGCATTTCTGCCACATTTCACAAGCCCTTTTTTTCCCACACAAGGCGCTGCCATATTTGATCTAGCTGCTTCAATATGCATTTGATGCGTAATCCAAAAACTGTTGCTTAATCCTGTCGCCAGCTGTACTGGCCACGCCGGCGATTGCTTCAGGACTCGGCAGACAAATACAACATGTTTGATATTCATCGACGGTTCTCTGCGTCAAATCGCCATCGACATGCAGTCGCGCACACGTGCGAGTTCTCGGCGATTTCTGTCGCCGGCAACCAAATCGCCAGTATACAGGATAAAAATCGCACAGTGTGCGCCCGCGCTAAGTTGTGTATACATTTCTACTTCAGAATCAATCCAGTAATGAATAATATTAGCAAGGTCCCGAATTTTATGTGATAACATATTAATATAATGTCGTGTGCTATTTCATTTCATATAAATGATATATATATATATAGTATATAGTTATATATATAATATATATATATATTATATATATATAGAATAGCGTGTAAATTTTTAATCAGCAGCTTCGATAATTCTCTATTCACAACTAGCAAATACAACAGATGGAAACGGTTAAATAAAAAAAAATGTATTTTATTTTCATATCTACATTGAGTGTCCTGTGTTTTACTTCTAGTAATATATATAATATTATATATATATATGACTATATATATATATTATGTGTTGTATCTTCATATACATTTTCGACTACAGATCGGACGAAAGACATGCAAAATCTGTAATCAAGCACGCTCCAATATCAACAAATGTGTCCTATCAAGTGAAAAGAAAGTACTACGTCTGAATCTCTACAAAAATCAATCAAAGTAGCCAATTAAGTTAACGTTACTGTGGTCAGGACATATTGCCCCATTGTTTCCCTGAGATATAAAGTTTCGTCATGGACTGTAGTAACGGTGGATCGCTATCGAATGTACACTTTG